AGATTCACTCAGTTTAGGCTCTGTAAAGCAAAATACCAAAGACCTGGGTAGCCTAAACAACAAACATGTATATGTCACAGTGCTGGAAGCTGGGAAGTCTGAAAGATCACAGCTACAGCAGATCCTGTGTCTGGTGAGAACCAGCATCCTGGTTTGAACACGGCTTGCCCTTCTTGCTCCATCCTACACATGGCAGAAACAAAGGTGATGCTGGTTCCCCTCCTGTCTTTTCTGTAACAAGGGCACTAAATTCCTTTCCATGAGGATCCACCCTCATAACCTAATCAGCCCCTCAAAGGCCTCATTCCTATAACCCCAACATCACATTGGGGGTTAATTTCAACATAAAAACTTGGGAGGGGCACAAACATTCAGTTTTCATATCCAAGCGAGAGTGGGGGAAACTGAAATTCTCATACTGTCCTGTGAAAGTATTAATGACACACGTCTGGAGGGCAAATTCAGCAACATGTGTCAAGGGACTTAAAAATATGCTGTCGACCCAGTCATCTCATATTTTAATTTACAGGAAATACAACAAAGATTCAAAACCTATATTCACCTATATATTTATTCAAGCCAAATATTTATACTTCCTGTATATCCCATACACACAAGAAAAAAAAAACAAATAAATCCTAATAGAAGACATTTGGCTAATAATAAACACCATGTAGGGGAATCTTACATGTTGGAAACATATGTAATAGCATAGAAAAATGTTTGGTAATATAATATCTAGCATTTACTGAGCTTTCACCATGCAAAAGCTAATTCCCCCTTTAAATGTGCATTTTTCTCCTTTCATCCTCACACCAATTGCCAAATAGATAAACAGGAACAGAGACAAAGTAACTTTTCCACGTGGTGAGTGGTGATTCCACAAACCTTGTTGCTGTTGTTGTTTGGAGACCTAGGTCTCACTCTTGTTTTTGGCTCAGGCTAGAGTGCTGTGGTGTCAGCCCTAGCTCACAGCAACCTCAAATTCCTGGGGTGTAAGCAATCCTCAGCCTCCCTAAGTAGCTGGGACTAACCAGGTAATGTGCCACCCATGCCTGGCTAAATTTTTCTATATATTTTTAGTTGCCCAGCTAATTTCCTTTCTATTTTTAGTAGAGATGGGTTCTTGCCTCTTGCTCCAGGCTGATCTCAAACTCCTAAGCTCAAGGGATCCCCCCGCTTGGCTCCCCAGAGTGCTGGGATTTACAGTCATGAGCCACCGCGCCCAGCCACAAAACTTGTTTTTTTACTCATAACTACCAAAACATAAC